GGTTTCAAGACTCCCAAATTTGAAAAGTATGACTGACACGGGGACCCCATAGCCCATCTGAAGAGGTATTACAATCAGTTGAGGGGAGTAGGCAGAAAAGAAGAGCTCCTAATGGCTTGCTTCGGGGAGAGTCTAGTTGGAATTGCATCCGAATGGTATATGGACCAAGACATCTCGCGCTGGCACATATGGGATGACATGGCCCGAGACTTTGTCAGGCAATTCCAGTACAATGTGGGCATAGCTCTGGATAGAAACTCTTTGTCTAATTTAAAGAAAAAGTCTTCGGAGAGCGTCCGAGAGTACGCCGTCAAGTGGCATGAACAAGCTGCCAGGGTAAAATCCCCAATGGATGAGACCGAGATGGTTAGTGTCTTCTTGTAAGCCCAAGAGGCTGAATACTTCAAAAACATGATGTCTGTTATGGGCAAGCCGTTTGGAGAAGCCATAAAGACTGGGGAAAAGGTAGAGAATGGTTTGAAAACGGGTCGCATCCTGAGCCAGTCGGCTATAAGAGTTGCTTCTCAAGCAATCCATAGTGGGTCAGGAGGCACAGCAAACCAAAAAAAGAAAAAAGAAGTGCCAATAATGGCCTCAGGTTTGAGAAACCCCCGTCAACCCCGAGGTTACTTCAGTTCCTCCTCAAACACCCTGCAACATTATTACCCTCACCAAGATGCGGCATACTCTATGACTTTTCAGCCCTATGCAGTGATGAATGCCCAGCCATACGCTCGGCCACAATAACAGTATAACCAGAACCGAGCTCCACCTCCTAGAAATAACCCTCCTCACCAATCTTCATACAATCCCCGTCCCCCACAGAATAACTTTCCATATAACGCATGTGCCCGTGAGCCACCCTGAAAGATCAACTTCACACCCATTGGTGAGCCGTATTCCAGCCTCTTCCCAAAGTTGGTCCAAATGGGTCTGCTGCAGCTCATACCTATAAATAGGCAAAATCCAGAGTCACCCTCCTACCGACCCGGTACCCGATGTGCTTATCATTTAGGGGCAGAAGGGCACGACACTGAGGATTATTGGACCCTAAAAATGGCGGTTGAAAGTCTAATAGAGCAAAAGTAGGTAGTTTTGAGAGATGAAAAGGTCCCCAATGTGAGCAATAACCCATTGCCAGCTCACAATAACGGGCTAGTTATTGGGATAATTTGTGAGGAGAAAGAGTTCGACCCAGCTTTGAAAGTTATCATTGCCATTGCTGATGTTGAAAACAAGCCCAGGGCGGCAGCAAATTAAGTTAAGTGGGGAAAGAAGAGCAACTCCACTCCTCAAAGCATAGAAAAGACTATGGAAGCCAAAACAGGGGAAGTACCTCCAAAAGATGTCGTTCTTTATGTTCCTCGGGCCCCCAGGAAAGAACAGTTCATGTTGAGACCCCCAAAAGGTTCGAGCTAAACAAGGGATCTAAGATGTACGTACCAAAAAGGACTTATGTGGTACGGGGGCCAGTAATTCCAGCCAGGCTGAATGAGCCCGTGGTTATCAACCGTGCACCATAGAAGCCCATGAAGGACCCCACTGCAGTCCCCTGGAACTACAACAAAGCAATGGTGACATACAAGGGAAAAGAAATCATGGGGGAGGTGAATAAAACAAACCCGTCTGGGAAGTACCTCAACTTGGAGGAATTGAACAAAACCAAACAGAAGTGTTTTCCACTTAATAAGCTAGTTAGTGCTAAAGAGGTAGAGGAATTCTTCTGAAAGATGAAGGCCTCGGACTACGATGTAATTGTCCAGCTCCAGAAGTCTCCCTCGCAGGTCTCACTCTTGTCTCTACTGATAAGCTCAAATGAGCATCAGAAAGTGCTGATAAAAACCTTTAATGAGGCATATGTTCCATTCGAGATCACTGTTGAGCAATTGGAAAGAATGGCGGAACGATTCTTTGAAGTCTACCGAATCTCATTCAGCCAAAATGACTTGCCCCCAGAAGGGGCTGCCCACAACAAATCTCTTCATCTGACTGTTAAATGTGAAGGATACTACGTGAAAAGAGTTATGTTGGATGGTAGATCTGGGGTTAACATCTGCCCTCTCTCGACCTTACAAAGAATGGAAATTGGGACTGAAAGAATTAGGCCCAACAATGTTTTCGTACGTGCTTTTGATGGCATCAATAGAGATACGATCGGGGAGATTGATTTGATCTTAACCATCGGCCCTGTGGATTTTGAGGTAACATTTCAGGTTTTTGACATGGACACCTCCTACAATTTTCTCTTAGAAAGGACGTGGATCCATGCAGTAGGAGCCGTACCATCTACTCTCCACCAAATTGTTAAGTTTGAACATGAAAACCAGGAAATCGTGGTCCACGGAGAAGATGAGCAATCAATTTATAGGGACCCGTCAGTCCCATATTTGGAAGCTAAGGAAGGTACTGAGCACATAGTCTACCAAGCTTTCGAGATCGTGGTTGCGGACCAGTGTGAGGAAGCAACCCCATGTCCTCAAACCTTTTTGTCAAACGCGTCAATCATGGTCCCCAGTGAAATGATCAAGCATGGCTACAAGCTCGGGAAAGGGCTCGGGGCATCTTTGCAAGGCATTATAGAGCCTATCACTTTGACTGCCAGTAAGAACCTCTTTGGCGTCGGTTTCCAAGCTACAGAAGTCGATGTAAAATGGGATGATAAACGTAAGAACAACGGGTGGGTTCTGCCTCAGCGGTCCCGCATCTCAACAGAACTTTTGTTAAGCCAAGATACGTAGATGAAGAAGATGAGGCCTTCATGACCGAAGAAATTTAGGACATATATGGAGCAATGAGGCAAATGTTATATGAGGCTCATATGGTCCAGCCAGGTGAAGGCTCAAGTAGTGCTGAGGTACAGTATAGGGAACCCAATGCCAAGCTTTAAAATTGGAAGGCTACTCCATTCCCAGTTAGGCGGGAATCCCGGTAGTTCAGTCTTTCCATCTTTTCTGCATTCCGAGTTATTTCAGGGTGTAACTCAAATGTTTTCAGTTTATTGGATTTTTAAAATTCCAATGTAAACCCTTCTATCTTCAAATTCAATGAAATGAAATAAATATTTCATCGTCTATGAATCTCTTTATTCTTTCTAATTTTTGTTATTTTTGTTATTTCTTCTTTTCAGTTCTAATAATGCAGACTTAAATAACATGACATGCTTGTGGACTTCTTGCCCAGATCTTAGCATGTTGTCTAACTGTGAAATAATGAATCAAGAACCAGAATACGATGAAGATAAGGCTTTTAGGGAAATAAACCGAGAACTGGAACAATTTGAGAATAAGCCTAAGCCAAACTTAAATGAAACTGAGCCAGTTAATTTGGTAGTTCAGAAGAAGTCCAGGAAACCATGATAAGCATTCACGCTGATGAAAGTACTAGGAATTCATTGATCCAACTCTTGTTCGAATTCAAAGATGTGTTTGCATGGTCCTATGATGATATGCCAGGACTAAGTGTTGATTTAGTGGTGCACAAATTACCAACTTACCCCGGTTATCCCCCTGTCCAACAAAAGCAGAGAAAGTTTAAAACGGATATCAGTGATAAGATTAAAGAAGAAGTCACCAAACAGCTGAAAGCGGGTATGATCAGTGGTCTGATACACTACATGGCTGGCTAATATGGTCCCAGTTCCAAAGAAAGATAGGAAAAACCAAGTGTGTGTTGATTATCGGGATTTGAACAAAGCAAGCCCCAAGGACAACTTTCCATTACCAAACATACACATCCTTGTTGACAACTGTGTCAAACATGAGATACAGTCTTTCGCGGATTGTTATGCTGGGTATCATCAAGTTCTGATGGATGAAGAGGATGCAGAAAAGACGACCTTTACCACACCTTGGGGTACTTATTGTTATAGGGTCATGTTGTTCGGTTTGAAGAACGCCGAGGCAACTTACATGAGAGCCATGACTGCCATTTTCCATGACATGATGCACTAGAAAATTGAGGTGTATATGGATGACGTGATCATTAAATCAAGGACGCAGGATGACCATGTGCGTGATTTGAGAAAGTTCTTTGAGAATCTGCGTAAGTGTGACTTGAAGTTAAATCCAACTAAGTGTGAATTTGGAGTGCCATCTGGGAAACTTTTGGGGTTTGTAGTTAGTCGGAGGGGCATCGAGCTAGATCCAACAAAGATAAAGTCTATTCGGGATTTGCCTCCTCCGAAAACCAAGAAAGAGGTCATGAGTTTGCTGCGTAGGTTGAATTACATCAGCAGGTTCATTGTTCAGTTGACTTCCACTTGTGAGTCCATATTTAAGTTGTTGAAGAAAGGTGTGGCGATTAGATGGACAAATGAGTGTCAGGAAGCTTTCGACAAAATCAAAGAAAATCTATCGAATCTGCCAGTGTTGGTTCCGCCCGAGCCTGGAAGTCCTTTGTTTTTGTACTTGACAGTGTTGGAGAATTCTTTTGTATGTGTTCTCGGGCAACATGATGTGACCAAGAAGAAGGAACAAGCCATATACTACTTGAGCGAGAAGTTCACTAGTTATGAAGCCACATACACTTTGTTGGAAAGAACTTGTTGTGCCCTAACTTGGGTCGCTCAGAAGCTTAGGCATTACTTGTTGGCCTACACCATCTACCTCATAACCAGATTGGATCCTTTGAAGTACATATTCCAAAAGCCGATGCCCACGAGAAGGTTAACAAAATGGCAAATCCTGCTCACCGAGTTTGACATAGTCTATGTCACCCGCACAACAATGAAAGCTCAAGCTTTGGCGGATCACCTAGCTGAGAATCATGTTGATGATGAATATCAGCCTTTGAGTACTTACTTTCTGGATGAGGAAATAAATTCAGTTGAGGTAATTCCAGAAAACACCAATGCTTGGAAAATATTCTTCGATAGAGCTGTGAATGCAAAAGGTGTCGGGATTGGGGCAATTTTGATTTCACCCACTGGTCAGCACTATCCGGCCACAGCACTATCCGGCCACAACACTACCAATTATGAATCCTACATTATAGGCATGAACATGGCAATCTATCAGGATGTGGAAGAATTGTTAATCATGGGAGATTCTGACTTGATTATCCAACAAGCTCAAGGTGAATGGGAAACTCGGGATGTCAAGCTTCTTCCATACAGGCAGGATGTGGAAGATCTTAGAAAGCGGTTCAAATCCATCGAGTTTAGGTACATTCCTTGGTTTCATAATGAGTTAGTTGATGCACTAGCTAATTTGGCCTCGATGCTGCCGTATCCAGGCAATGTCCACATTGGCCCATTGGAAATCCAAATCCGAGAAAGACATGGTTATTGCAATACAGTTGAGGTGGAACCAGATGTTCAGACATGGTATCATGATATCAAAAGATTCTTGAAAACAAAGGAATATCCCGAGAAAGCTAGTGGATATCAAAAGAGAACCATTAGAAGGCTCGCCAGTGGTTTCTTCTTGATCAGAGAAGTCTTGTATAAAAGGACTACAGATCTGAACCTTTTAAGATGCGTGGATGCCCAAGAGGCGGGAAGAATCATGAATGAAGTGCACGCAAGAGTGTGTGGACCCCATATGAATGTATATGTCCTTGCAAAGTAAGTCCTTCAGGCAGGTTATTACTAGTTGACTATGGAAAAGGATTGTTTCAGTTTCATTTGAAAGTGTCACCAGTCCAGTACAGGGTGACCGGATTCATGCACCGCCTTCAGAATTGCATCCTATATCGGCACCATGGTCGTTCGTTGCTTGGGGTATGGATGTCATTGGACCAATCGAGCCGAAAGCTTCAAATGGGCACAAATTCATCTTAGTGGCCATTGACTATTTCACAAAGTGGGTTAAAGCAGTCACTCTCAAAGCCATCACCAAGAAAGTAGTGGTGGATTTTCTGCATTCCAACATGATCTGTCGTTTTAGTATTCCTAAAACTATCATTACGGACATTGCTGCAAATTTGAATAGTCACATGATAAGGGAGATATGTGAACAATTTAAGATCACACATCGAAATTCTACCCTTTATCGGCCCAAGGCTAATGGCGTTGTTGAAGCAGCGAACAAAAACATCAAGAAGATCCTCAGGAAGATGATCCAAAGTTCTAGGCAATGGCATGAAAAGTTGCCTTTTGCATTGTTGGGATATCGCATAACTCTGCGCATATCAGTTGGGGCAACACCTTATCTATTGGTTTATGGCACTGAAGCTGTAATGCTCGCAGAAGTTGAAATTACATCACTTCGAATCATCGTTGAAGCTGAGATTGAGGACAATGAATAGGTCAAGACCCGTCTAGAACAGTTAACCCTGATTGATGAAAAGCGGATGGCCGCAGTATGCCATGGGCAGTTGTATCAACAAAGAATGGCCCGTGCATACAACAAGAAAGTGCGACCTAGGAAATTTGAAGTAGGGTAACTCGTTTTGAGACGTATTCTCCCGCATCACAAGGAAGCAAAAGGAAGGTTCGCTCTAAACTGGAAGGGACCGTACATTATAAGAAAATTGTTTCCAAAAGGGGCATTGTACTTGGGAGACATGGAAGGAAATGACCCTAAAACAGTTGTCAATGCAGACACGGTCAAAAGGTATTACATTTAACCCGTCTATGATATAGATATTTTTCGATTGGGATGACAAAGGCTTTCGTTATCTCTACCTAAACACCGCTAACCTTTGTAAACCCTTTAAGCTGGTTACTTTTCTTTGATTACCCTCTTTGGAACCCGAAGATGTTTGTAAAAAAAAGAAGAAGAAAATAAAAACCAAGTTCCCTAAACTACGTTGGACTTGATTCCGAAAGGATACGTAGGCAGTCTCTCTCTGGGGTTCAGTCACACCAAAACAAAAATCCACATTCCCCCCAAAGTTGAAACTGGGGCACAATTTTTAATGGTTCAGCGATGGTTCGCCTGAAAGGTTCCAAAGTTGTAATTCAATCCAAACTCTTTTTACCCTAAATCATGTTCAAAGTCCTTTTGATCAATTGGTAAAGAAGTTCGAAATGGGAGGATATTGTTTATTTGGATCTGATACAATCAAATAAGAGAAATAAAATGAGAGTCTTATTGGTGAAAACCCACACGGGCACCGTAAGGCGATGGTGAGCAGAGAAATTAAAAATGAGAGAGTCTTGTTAGTAAAAACTCACAAAGAGCACTATAAGGCGACGGTGAGAAGAGAAATGAGAGAGTTCAGTTGGTGAAAACCCACAAAGGGCGCCACTGATCGAAAAGGGAATCACTTACAACCATCGGCACTGATAGAGTCCTGGCAAGGTTTCTCGGTTTTGAGGTATGAGTTATGATGGATTTATGAGAGTTGGATGGTTTGCACAGATCGGGCATCCAGTCCAAGAAGCATGTCATGTCTATTGAAGTCTGCATGCACTCCAGATAAGTCCTTCTTTCTTTTCCCCAAAATGGATACTCCTCATTTAAATTCATCATCATGTCCGTTGTTTACTTTTCTTTGAATCTCTTTCGGTCTAATTCTCCTCCGAAACTAATATAAAGAAAATATGGCAAGATTAGTTTTACAGGGGTTTTTTCTAACAAAAAGCTAAAATTCAAGAAAGAGCACCCAGCCTCAGCAGGTGCATCAAGTCGATCTCGACTGGCCATGTTGGATGATGCTCCAGAGTCCAAACACTTGAAAATAAAGGAAATCAAAGTCAAGTGCCCACAAAGTCAAAATAAAATGAAAAGGCCAAGCCCCACGTGAGTTAACCATCATGGGGAATTTTGGAAAGTCAAGATCCCTGGGTTTAGAAATAAAATCAATTTCCAGAAAGCTAGCGAGCAATGGAGATTTTCATCGAAAGAGTTGGGCCGAGATCAAGTGATCAAAACATTCAAGGCCACAAAACCAACCACTGTTTCAAACTGACAAATTGTTCTTTGATTTGAAAACAAGAGAACAGGTGCAGTCCAAAACAACCTTGCAAGAAGCAGGTGCAATAAAAGTGAAGCACGCAGAAACCAAAATGGTTCTGCAACAAAAGTTAACCCGAAAAGGGAAGTCCTTTTTGAAACTCTTCATGCATTCTCCAAAATAAAATGAGGCAAATTAAAAAAAAAAGAAGAAGAAGAAGAAAAGAAGAAGAAAAAAAATTCAGAATCATGGTAGCTTAGGGTCTCCAATCACTAGCTACGTTTTTCCAACATAGGGTCTCATTCTCTAGTCGTTTCCAGCATAACCTGGTAACCTCTTCCAGTATAGGATCCCACTCCCTAGTTCATCCTCGGCATAACCCGAGGACCTTTACGGCATAACCTGATGACCTCCCCGGTATAACCCGAGGATCTTTTCCGGCATAACCCGAGGATCTTTCTGGCATAACTTGATGACCTCTCTGGCATAACCCGAGGAACTTTTCTGGCATAACCCGATGACTTTCCTAGCATAACCTGTGGACCTTTTCCGACATAACCTGATGACCTACCCGACATAACCCGAGGACCTTTCTGGCATAACTCAATGACTTTTCCGGCATAACACGTGGACCTTTCCATCATAACCTAATGACTTTTCCAGCATAATCTGAGGACCTTTCCGGCATAACCCGATGACCTCCCCAGCATAACCCGAGGTCTTTTTCTAGCATAACCCGAGGACCTTTTTGGCAAAACCCGATGACTTTCCTGACATAACCCGTGGACCTTTTCGGCATAACCCGATGACTTTCCCGGCATAACCCGCGGACAATTTTCCTGGCATAACCCGTGGACCCTTTCCGGCATAACCCGAGGACTTTTTCGACATAACTCGGTCATTCTTCCAGCATAACCTAGTAATCTTCACAACTTAGGGCCTCCGATCCCTAGTTGATTTCATTTAAATATGGGGCTCCACTCCCTAATCTCTTTTCTCCCAAGGATATACAATCTTGATTTTATTGCTTTCAATAAAGAAGTAGTTTATATTTTGTTACAATAACTCACAAAAATTTTCTAGTGAAAATTGGGGTAAAATATTTCGTTTGTTTGTTTGTTTTTGGTGCCTAAACAGGTTTTTACCATAAGGCACGAGGTTTGAGATGACCAGAAAAAAAAGTCTCAATCCAAATAAAAGAAAAAAAACAAGTAAAAAATGAATTCTAAGGATAGAAGCGGAGAAAAGATGCAGACTGCTCAAGATATAATCGAAGTCACAAGCTTTGCATATCCCGCCGAGATCTGAAAGGCTGAAGAAGAATGAACCAGCGGTTGCAGCTAATGAGCATCAAGATTCAGATCAGAGTCTGCAGGAAGAACCAGCCAAGACTCAAGATCAAGCTTTAGAAGGTTTATAGATAGGAATCTTGTAACTCATAGTTGAAAGGTTTAGCTAGCTTAACTTTTCATTTTTTATTTCGGTATAATAAGGAGCTCAGCAAGCAGAAACAGCAGCAATAGCAGTGAAATCACAGTTTTTCGGTAGTCCCAGCTACCAAAACTTCCAGAACTGCACTAACCTGATTCTTTTATAGCCAAGGATATGTAAGCAACCTCCGAAGCAGGGTTCGGTCAGACTTTTCCCAAAAGATGCTTCTCTGTGGAGTTTCAAATGGGCAAAAATTGCTCGTAATTGCTTATTCTATATTTGCCAGAAAACCCTTCATATTTCCGAGCAAAGAGAGGCAGATGTGAGCATGTGATTTTTGCCCTATTCAAAATACTCCTATAAAATCAAAGAAATAAAAATTTTCCCAATTATTTGCCATTTTATAGGATTTTGTTAATTGTTTGCATTTTTGTGCATTTAATTTTTATACAATCATGAAAAATTCCCCAAAAATGTCAAAAACATCATGCATTGCATTTAGATCTTGTTTTCATATTTTTAGGATTAATTAGTTAATTAATTGCTTTATTAAAATAAAAATCACAAAAATTGGCTCATTTTTACATTCTTAGATTTTAATTTTAGATAGTAATTTTTCTCTTTTAATTTAGGATCAACTAATTGTTATAAATTTTATAGTTAGATAATTAGCTTAGTTTTACAAATTAGATTAATTTAGGATTTTAATTAAAGAAAAAAAAAGAGAAAACATAGAAAAAGGAATAAGAAAAGAAATTGGAAAAGAAGATAAGCTCCTTATTCTATAAGTGAGAGAAACTTTTCCTTCTCACTAACTTGCAGAACATCTTCATCTCCTTAATTCATTAGCTATATGGCTACAGATATTAACCGCTATATCCCCCCTAAACCACCAAATAAGGGCATTCCCCCCAAAAAGAAGAAGTTAAAAGCTTCAAAGAAAAACTGGTCGAGGGAATACAACATTCTCTAACCATCACTGAAACCCCTACAATTATGGATACTACAACTAAGGTCCAAGGACCTTTTGTTATGCAAAATTGTCAAATGTTGATAGATGAAAACACAATTCAACTCTCAGAGGAAGATCAAGCACGGATATGTCAGCCCTGGAAATATTCTCTCATTATAAAGCTTATTGGTAAGAAAATCCAACACCATATCCTAAAAAAGAAAATCCAGGAAGCTTGGAAAATCATAGATAATTTCCCACTCATCGATTTGGGAGCAGACTACTACATAGCCAAATTTAATTGTGAAGAGCACATGATTAAAGTCCTAAATTCTGGCCCATGGTTCATATTTGGCTATTTCCTCTCCATTCAAAGATGGAAGCCAAACTTCATGGCAACAGAAGTTAAAAGCTCCCTTACTGCCATTTGGATCTGTCTGCCCCAATTGCCAACTGAGTTCTATGATGGAATCATCTTGGCAAAAATAGGAAATGCCATCGGTAAGTTACTAAAGGTTGATGCGTGCACCTCTTCCACTCTAAGGGGTCTCTATGCGCGATTATGCATAGAGCTTCCTCTGGAAGTTCCTGTAATTCCTTTCATCAACATTGGCCATCACAATGTGAGGGAGAAAATACCATATGCAAGCAATGTGGAAGATTAGGCCATGTGGCATTGAAATGTCTCTACGCTAAAACACCTCTAACATCAAACCACTCTATGGAAAATATTGTTGCTTCGCCTGAGGAGATGAACAACGACAAGGCAGTAAATGAGCTAGCATGGCAAACGATTAAGTTTCCTAAGAAGAAAAGGACCAATGGGAAAAATTCTGGAAGATAACAAAACTCAGGTATCCAAGCAAAATCTTTACATCCAATACCACGTACGTATCCCTCCCCTTCCCCTATTACCAAGTATATCCCCATTAACACTCAATCAGGAAATGGCAGTAAACCTATAACCAATGATTTCATTCTTCTCTAGAAAACCTAATGGACTGCAACAACAAATTTTCCACCT